TTCCTCTTGATAAACACGTGAGTTGTTTCCACCTTTTGACTATTCGAGTACAAGTTACGTTTCACTCGCTGTTTTCAAATATTTAGGGTAGGTAACTCATAGTGGAAGTGAGAGAGGCACAGAGCCGGTGTTCGCCACCTGTAACGCGCAGAACTCAACAGAGATCTCAGTCATTCAAGACACCCGTGCAGAGAGGGCCAGTGTGTGGCCTCGGGACAGAAACTTGCCCACTGCGTGGAGGGGAAGAGGAGAAAAGCAACTCGACTCTGCGCATTCAGCGACTCCACGGGAGAGGCAGGACCAGACCCAGCTCTCCTGCCTCTCGCTCGGGAATCTCTCCAGTCCTGCAATTCGCAGGCTTCTCTCGCCCCACGGTGATCATCTCTCCCACACATTCCCCTTCCTCAGACCCCCGGCCTAGACAGACGCCTTACCAGCATGACCAGGGTTTTCCAGACGGGGCCCCGCAGCCCCGGTGGGATGCACCCGCGCATGCGCACAGCCCCTCCCCAGGAGGCGAGAACTACACTTCCCAGCAGGCAACGGAAACGAGCGCTACAAAGGGAGGACGAAGAGCCGGGAAGGTCAATCCGCGCGGGCGGGGAGGCTGCTCGCCGGGAGGGATCTGGCCAATCAGTGCTCCGAGCTGCCTCCGCCTCCCGACTAGAAAAGGCAAACTAGAAGCCGCGGCCCTAGAGGCGCAGCGCAGTCCGAGCGGCCGCGTTCTCAGACCCCTGCCGGCGCGATGTGCCTCCCGCCGCTGCTGCTGCTGCTGCTGCTGGCCGGGCTGCTGCTGGCCGGGCTCCGCAGACTTTTCCTGGGGCTGTGGGCTGGCAGCTCCCCGAACCCCTTCTCCGAGGACGTCAGGCGGCCCCCCGCGCCCCTGGTGACCGACAAGGAGGCCAGGAAAAAGGTTCTCAAGCAAGGTCAGCGGGAGGGCCCCCGGGGTCCGGGGCTGGCTCGGGCATTCTCGCGGGTATGTGTTCCCACGCCGGCGGGAGAGCCGCTGCCACACCTGGGCCTCAGTTTCCCCACATGTAAAGTGCTGCGGGGGCTTCCTTGCACGTGGAGGCGTCCGTTTTAATGCCCACCACTGGCGAGAGGCTTCGCCCTAGCAGCCCAGAAAATAGTAGCCCCAGGGCCTGGGCACCAACCTCACGGCGTGCCATGATCTTGGCATAGCCGAGGCCTGCCCTGCCACTTGCAATTTCCGCGGCTACGGGGTAGACAAGAAGAGACCCTTCCCCGACTTGTTTCTAAGACCTTAACTTTTCACGTGCCCTCCCGCGCGGGCTAGGGGCATGGGTGACCTTCACAGAAATCTCTCCCAGTCTGCATAGGAAATTGCGTGTTGGCCGTCAGGTGATTGACAGGTTATGCGCGGCCTCACATCACAGGATTGAATCCTGGTTCAAAAACTTTGGAGAGGCTCAACAGGGTGCCTCAGACTCAGAGCCCGCTCTGCAGTCAAACAGGTTCCTCCACTCTCATCTTTCAAACATATTTTCGGGTTGCTTCTAAGATCTAAAGAAAGAGTTCTGCTGCATTTAAAAAAAGAAAAAAAAAAAAAAAGTCCCCTGATTGATCTCCAGGATCCCTCTCATTCGTAAATTTTAAAATCCTGTGTGACATATCCTGCTGCACACTCAGAGATGATACTATTCTCAATGGAAGGACTCGTCCTCTGGACTGCTGAGATCAGAGTTTTAGCTTTGGACTCTGACACTAATTCACTGCATAGCCATTAGCAAGTCACTCCACCTATTTGGGCTTGTCTAAAACTGGCATGACGACTTTAATTGTTTCTCAAACCAGGTTGTGATGTACTAGTGGGTTGTGAAATCAGTTTAGTGCATTGCAACTAGCATTTTTTTTTTCAGTTCACGAGTATAGAAAATATTAGAGTACATCATACATAATTCCAGTTAGTATTGTCCAGTGAAATTCTGTTTCAGCTGTTTATATTATATATTTACATATGTTCCGGGTTGTGATATACAATGTCTTTTTCACTATGTGTCTCTCTAAAAGTGATTGAAAAGTAAAAATTTGGGGGCCGGCCCGGTGGTGCACTCGGTAGAATGCGGCGCTTGGGAGCGTGGTGGCGCACTCGCCGGGGGTTCGGATCCCATATAGAGACTGGTCCGCTCACTGGTTGAGCGCGGTGCGGGCGCGACACCAAGGGTTGCGATCCCGTTGCCGGTCACGAAAAAAAGACAAAAAGGAAAAAAAAAAAAGTAAAAATTTTACCAACTTCTCTTGCAGCCTGAAAAATAGCCAATCCCATTTCTCAGGAAGGGACTTTTAAAGAACTAATCTAGCGTTGTAGTGCCCACATATCAACGTATCAGTTTTCTATTCTGTGAAGGCCCTTCCCACCCTCCGAGCCCTGCCTCCAGACTTCCCCAAGGTGAGGGGATGGTGCTGTGATTTCTCAGAGCAGCAGCCTCTGAGTGTCTCTCTTGCCCAAGCCTCTGCATCAGGCAGTGCAAGAGTCACCAAAGGACCCAGCTGCTCCACTGGCACCTGCCGACACTGCACCTTCCAAAGACAGCTGGCCTGTAAATGGACAGTTACTTGAGCTAGCAGCCTGCCCCATAACATCCTTCCCCCACAACCACCCCTGTGTTGTCTTTCTTCTCTAGTGCCCTCTGTGTGTCTGCACTTAGGTCTTTCAGCCTGCACTGCAGTCAGTTTTCTCTTTTTGTTCCTGTCATAGTTCACTCATTCCTACTTTCTTGGAAAGGAGGGAAAAGACCCAGGTCCATGGTAACTTTGGTTAAATCAGTTTAGATCAAACCACATCACGTTGTTTAATCTGCCTGGCTGGTCCTGAGTATTCCCAGGTAAAATATTTGAGACATCTTAGTGAAGAGCTGCGTGCCAAACTGCTTGAGAACTCCTTGCACTGTAAAAGCTAGAGAAGTCTTCCTTGGTTTCCCTGTCTTTGCTATTTCCCTGCCCCTGCCTGAGAAGCCCACACTCCTCCCTTCCTTTCTGCTGCAGTTTTCTCGGCCAGCCATGTGCCAGACAAGCTGGATGTGGTGGTGATTGGCAGTGGCTTTGGGGGCCTGGCCGCAGCTGCAATTCTGGCTAAAGCTGGCAAGCGAGTCCTGGTGCTGGAACAACATACCAAGGCAGGGGGCTGCTGTCATACCTTTGGAAAGAATGGCCTTGAGTTTGACACAGGTAAGGCTTGTGCGGAAAAGGTTGGGAGCATGTCTGTATCTTCAGAAGGCTTGGAGCAGCCACCAGGGTGTTTCCGTGGTTTCGGAGGTGCCATCTTCTCTGTGGGCACCACTTTCCTTCTCGGACAGCCATACCCACTGGGAGCTGAACTGGGCATGGATCTCATGGATTCTGCTGTGCCACCTGCCTTTAGAAGGGGTGGATAGCCCCCTCTGGTCATGGACATAGCCAGGCCAGACAACCTCCTCCACCTTACTGCCACCTGGTTTTTCCATCTCCCAACAGGAATCCACTATATTGGGAACATGCATAAGGACAGCACCGACCGTTTTATCTTAGACCAGATCACTGAAGGGCAGCTGGACTGGGCTACCCTATCCTCTCCTTTTGACATCATGGTACTGGAAGGGCCAAGTGACCGAAAGGAGTTCCCCATGTACAGTGGGGAGAAAGCCTACATTCGGGGCCTCAAGGAGAAGTTTCCCCAGGAAGAAGCTGCCATTGACAAGTATATAAAGCTGGTTAAGGTAAGTAACGTGGACACATTGACGACACCCAGTTTATTCCCAACAAGGCTGAGCTTCTGCATTAGTGGAGTGACAGTTTATTCCCAACAAGGCTGAGCTTCTGCATTAGTGGATCAACAGTAGGATGTTGGTGAGTGGAGTGGGGGAGGCAGGAGGAGAGGACAGTCCTGTCTGTCCTGAACTCAGCCCAACCATGTCCCCTGTGCCCCGCTGGGCTCTCCATCTCTGCAGCCTGGGCTCAGCAGCTCCAGGTCTCACTCTGGCCTCTGGCGGGCACCTGCTGTCCTCTCTGACTAGGCTGGCTGCCAGGGGACCAGATCAGTACTCTTTAAGTCATATGAGACCAGACTGGAATGTTTAAAAAGAAAATTGAGCAGGAAATTAAAAAGCGAGAAAGGACTCATCTGAGTGCAGGATGGGAGAGATTCAGAGTACAGATTTTTTAAAATGCAGATTCAGCCAAGTTCAGCCAGGAGCAAGTGTTGTGGGCCCTCAGGTGACACAGGCTGTTGCGATGGTCATTCCATCACAGCAGTTTCAGGGATGAGTCTGTCCCCTATGGCTTGGTTTCTCCCCAGGTGGCGTCCGGTGGAGCTGCTCATGCCATCCTGCTGAAGTTCCTGCCCTTGCCCGTGGCTCAGCTCCTTGACAAGTGTGGGCTGCTGACCCGTTTCTCTACATTCCTGCATGCATCCACCCAGAGCCTGGCCGAGGTGCTGCAGCAGCTGGGCGCCTCCCCTGAGCTGCGGGCAGTGCTCAGCTACATCTTCCCCACATATGGTGGGTACCGGCCACAGGCTCTGGGTGGCTCCTGGAGAGGAGGGGCTGCCCTCCCAGCTCCCGTCTTCACGACGTCTGGCCATCTGCAATGGAGCAGTGTAAAGCCCAGGCCTTCTGGAGCTGGTGGATGAGAAGTCTGTCCACCTGATGGACTCCCTGGCAGATGTTCCCTTCATCCACGCCCTGGATGCTTTTTCTCTCTGACCAATTTTGTCCTTCCGGGTCTTGGCACATGGCAGTTTGCAGGGAGGATATTCCCGCTGGCCTCAAGATCTCTCAGTGCTCCGTGTTTGAATGCAAACAGCTGCTGTGGCCGCCCTGGACCCTGGGGAACATTAGGATCCTGGGATGGGCTCGGACCGTGTGTCATCTCACAGGAGCCCGTGTTCCTTTGTGAAGGGTGCTGGTGCCTGTTCTTGCCTGCTCATCGCCCTCCCTTCCTTCTGCAGGTGTGACCCCCAGCCATAGCACCTTTTCCATGCATGCATTGGTGGTGAACCACTACATGCAAGGGGCCTTTTATCCTCGAGGGGTTTCCAGCGAAATTGCCTTCCACACCATCCCTGTGATTCAGCGGGCTGGGGGTGCTGTCCTGACGAAGGCCACCGTGCAGAGTGTCTTGCTGGACTCAGCTGGAAAAGCCTGTGGTGAGAGCCCTGTGCTTGTGCTTCAGGGACCCTGGGCTGGTGTGGGAAACACCTGGGGTCTCTCTGAGGGCAGAAAGTGTTGAGCAACTGACGTCCTCATGGAGATTAGAGGCTGGAATCTGTCCAGAGCAGGGGCCGGGGCAGAGTGATTAGTGTGCATGTTAAAGGGGAGCGGGACGGATAAAGGTTTCCATGGTTGCCAATGAACACTATTGAGTTATCTATTCAGTAGCTATGAATATTCTCCCTGTAATTCTTGACCTTCTGATTTTTTTTTTTTAACATATATATGGGAGACAGAGTTGACTGTCAGTATTTGTATACATTATGTGACGATCAAAATCAATATTATTAACATGTTCGTTATTACAAATTATAATTATTCATTGCATCGTTTACCCAATTTCTCCCTAACCTTCTTTCCCCTTCCCCCTTTCCCACCTCTAGTAGCCATAGATCTGTTCTTTCTTTCTGAAACTTGAACATATTATTTGGTTAATGGCTGAGTAGTATTCCACTCTATGGTCTGGTCTTTTCTTCCTTCCTTCATTTCATGGCTCCCACTTATGAGTGAGGACATGTGGTATTTTTCTTTCTGTGCATGGCTTATTTCACTTAAGGAACTTTTCTCCAAGCTCCTCCATTTTGCTATAAATGCCAGAATTTCATTCTTTTAATGGCTGAGTAGTATTCCACTGTGTATATATACCACATTTTCCTTATCCAGTCATCCACATGATCTTCTTGATTGTAGGGGCAGTGTAGTTATGTCTATAGGTCGTAGCACATGGCAGAGCCTTGAATGTTTGTTCCATGACTGATGGAATGAGCGAGTTACCTGGGTCTTCCTTAGGGCAATGTGGAGGTCAGCAGTGTGCCTGCCCTCAGTCTCTAAATGGCAGATGGGGGCCAGGGTTGAAGCCCTGACCTGTGTAGAGACTTAAAATCCCACTCTGAACAAACTCTTTGAAGAGAGGGTCTGTAAAAGGAAGGCCTCTGTTAAACAGGCCATCCATGCCTAGGGGGTGCTTAAAGAAGCATCAGGGAGGGGGACAAAACGGGCCAGAGGAAAACAGGGCTGGTGTGAACATGAATTTGCTGGAGGTGCCCTTCAGGGAGGAGGAGGTGAGGAGTGGGTGGCCCATAGCAAAAAAA